AACTTTAAGCCCTCCGGCAACAAGGAGGGATTTTAATGCCCTGATTTGGGGTTCCCTACAGCTGGGGGGCAGATTACCCATGTTAATTCTGAGACAAAGAGAATGTATCAGGCCCAGATGTCTTGTGCTTAGTGGTTCGTTAGGCCACGGCCGTATGCCCACATGGTGTCTCTGGAGGCGGGGTGGCGGTAGGGGCCACTCCTGGGTTCTGCCTCCTAGGGGGTCAGCCCTTATGTGGAGGCGCCTGACGAACCAAAAGCAAAATGTGTACCTCCCTAATCGACAGACAGGATGAGGGAAAAGGGAAGGAGGGGGTTCTCATGCTCACCCATGGGAGAACCAAAGGCACATGTAACACGTAGGGGCCTACTTACTGAAACTTCAGGCAGGGGGCATCTCACAACACCAAAGAAAGCAGGGGAGAGGCGCCCAGGTGGTGGCGGGTGGAGAAAGTGAAACTAAGGCTGATCTCCAGAGCGTAGATGCACTGCGGGCAGAAAAGCACAAAGAACACAGTCCAGAAGAGAAAAGCGGCTACCACAACGATAGCCAGAACCCAAGGAAGGTCAATGCCCATACACCAGATGTTGCGGGTGTCCTGGGGCCCTCTGGGCGGGGGGTAGAGTTGGGATGGAGTCACGACACAGACACCTGGAGTCAGGTGAGAAGCAGGCAGTGCAAGCAGCTGCAGACTCATTTATTGCGGATATGGGGCTCCCTTATATCCCCCCTCCCGGTGTCCCATTGGTCCATTGATAGGTCATGTCTGTTCCTCATTGGCTCTCTGTATCAGGCCATTTTTGCATCAGCCATCTCTGTGTCTTTTGGTAGAACACAGGTTTGCCTCAGCGCTGGATGTTTTTTGCTTGTTTTCAGCGTGCATGCGCTGGTTGTTCAGGCCGCACTTCCTTCTACACTGAAGGCCAATTTTGGATACTTCAGGAAGTGCTGTATGGAGAAAAAAAATACAGAAAATTGTTTTATATGCACCGCACCACATAGTCTCATCCCCCCAGTTTTTCTGCCAATTAGCTGTCTGATTTTGGCTGAGTCATGGAGTTTCTCTGAACCTGAGCGCTTTTTCGTGTGTGTGTGTGTGTGTGTGTGTGTGTGTGTGTGTGTAGACCTGGGGACAACCTGGGGTAGCATCTACTTTTATATTGAGACAGAGTTTCTCACTATTCTGGAACTTGCAAGTAGGTCAGGCTGGCTGGCCATCCAGCCCCAGGGATCCACCTGTTTCCATCTCCCCAGCCCTGAGATTATAAGCACATACCCAGCTTTTTTAAGTGGGTTCTGGGGAGTGAATGCAGATACTCATATTTTTAAGGTGAGCACTTCACAGACTCCCCATCCTGGTCCTGAGTTTTTTAGAATGGAGGACTTAGTCTAAGTGATTTGCATCTTCTACCTCATGCCTGTCCACTTACCTGTCACCCATCTTCCGTCTTTCTTATGTCACAGTTAAGCTCGTAACATCACAGCTATGAGAATTCACAGGTTTCTTTTTGGAGACATGGTTTCATTCTGAACTCTAAGCTGGCCTGGAACGCTCTATGTAGCCAAGGTTGACCTCAAACTCACAATCCTCCTGCATCAGACTCCCAGGTGCTGGGTTTAAGGCACACACCACCACACCCAAAAGATTCTCCAGGTTTTAAAAGCCCAAGTGCCTACAGAAGCTCATAAGCTGTTGGTCTGTGAGAAAGCCCTACAGAGAAGGGAGGTGGGTGCAGGAGGAGTCTCTGCATGTGTTTCTCAGTGGAAGGGGCACTGTTGCCTCTGAGACTGGGTAGTTCTTTGTTATAGCACACCAACCTAGGTCTAGCAGGATGTTTCTTATCTCAGGGTTGGGCTCTAATCCTCACTCTGCCAGTCACTATGGCAACCCAGACACACCCACATGCTTCCAACAGCCCTCAGAGTAGGTAGTTCTGGCATTTTAAGAAAATTCTAAATCCAAAAGGCATAAATAAATATGCCCAGTCTACTGTGTAACACATGTTATAATTTATAATAATACAAGAAAACTACCCTCCCATTGCTCTTTTGGTGACCTTTATCTCTAAGACCCTTCTTTGTCCCCTCACCCTTCTTTCCAAGATAGTCCTTCTCCTTGCCCCTCAAGGCCTCCAACCATTACATACTCTCAGAAATAGCCTGAGGTCCCAGATGCCTCAGTCCCAGCTGCTGATGCTGGGAGATTTCCCAGCCCTCTTCCTGAGCACCCATCCACCTGGGGAAGGAGAAAGAAGACACCTGGCAGAGTTCCATTTCAGCCAGAGGGAAACCTGACTATCAATACATGGAGGTGATCTGCAAAATTGAAAGCCATGCCCACTTGGCCTCAGCTTTTGATCTTTCACCAAGCTGGGCCATAAATACAGAGCTAGCCATTTCCTGTGCTCAGTAACTCAGCACCCTTGAATGGGAAACTTATCACCATAGTGAGATATGTGTCCAATTACCCTGTTATTCCTATTGACCTTTGAGCTTCCCAAGCCAGGAATGGAAGAGGGAGGGACCAGAAGACATCATAGGAGACCTCACTGATTCACTGGAAGCCCCTAGGAGGGGTTAGTGACACACATGGTGATTCTAAAGCCAGTGCAGAGGAAGGGGCAAGGAGGAGTTTGCCCTGAAAAGTCTGGGGCTGACAGAAAGGAGACAATTTAGACACTAAAATAAGAATAAGAATAAGAATAATTAATAATAGCAAAGGGCTAAAGCATCAGTCATTGACTTATGGCTTCATGTCTTCTCCCTGTTCCACTGTGAGTTCCTAGAAGACAGAGACATTTATCTTGCTCACCATGTATTCCCAGTACCCAACAGCCTGCCTGGAACCTGATAGTCTCCAGTCTTTTGAGCCATTTGTTGTTTCCTGTAATTTGTAGCGCTCTTTCCTATTTGAACCTTAACATCCAATCTGAAAGTCTATCACTTCAAAAGTGAACACAGTTTAAATGTTAGCTGCCTATCTGGATATGGTGGTTCACACTTGCAACCCAAGCATTTGGGTGACTGAAGCTGGAGGGCCACAAGTTCAAGGATCAACAGAAAGACACATCTCTTACCTTAAAAACAAAAGAGATAGTTTATTCTGGAGCCAAACATAAGTGACGATGGCCTGGGAACACAGATATAAGATATCCCAAATACCATATTCCTTTTTTAAAAAATTGTATTCCAAATAAAATTTATGCAATTTTTATCACACTTTTCCAGAAAAAATACTTGAAGAAGTTTACATAAAAATATATATACAATGAAGTTTAAGGGGGGAAAAATAGGAATAAGAAATCAAAGATGAAAGGATGCAGTCAACTTTGGTGGAATAATGAAGGTTTCCATTAGTTCTGTTCTTTGTTTTGGCAAATCCTACAGAAGAGTGGGTGCCCTGCCCCCATTTACAGCTGCACTGGAAAGTCCACACTCAAATATAGATCCTGTGACTTCCCAACAGCTGCACAAAATGGCAAAAGAGGTCCCCCATGGCGTTCTCAGTTTATATATATGTCCTTAGCCCCTCCCCCACATAAGCTAAGGTCAACTGATTGGGTGGGAGGAGTAACTGACTCTCCCATCAACCCCTTGATAAGCATGGGAAGGAGATGTGACTATAGCTTGTTGGCATAGTGGTCAGAAGACACTTCCAGTTAACACTCCACCCCTTCCTCCAGCTCTTACATTCTCTCCACCAACCTCTTCTGCAAAAGTCCCTGAGCCTTGGAGGAGGTGATAGGTGTAGGATGATCTTCTTCCCATTGTGGCAAGGCATTGAACTTTCAGATCTCTGCATTCTCAGTTTTCCATGGGCTGTTGGCTCATTTCAGTGGGACTCCAACTACTATAAAAACACAAGCAAGACACAAGAACATCTAAATAGTGGCTGCTATAATAACTTAACCTATGGATGTAGACACAAATGTTTGGATGGTCCTTCAGCAGGTGTATCACATCCATCTAACAAAACAATTGTATTGGCTTCCCTCTGGGGACTAAATGGTTGACCTGGTCTACAGTACCAGATGTGTGTTCCACCTCTAGGAGTAGGTATTATATTGTCGCAAGCCGGGACTCTGTCCAGCAGAGTCCAGGAAAGACGACACAGACACCAAGGTGAGGTCCAAGCTTCTGTTTCTCTTTCTTCCTTT